ATATCTTTATACCATATTATTGTTTAAACGTGTTAAACAAAGCCGTTACGTTACGTCCATAAGTATATGGCCGAATACTCAGACTTGACTAACTTACACACACACACACCTTTCCTTTTTGACTTGCCTATTACCTGATTGGGACTAAAATAACTTTGTAAAATGTACTAACCTACATTAACTAAACCTAGACATATTCTAACAACAATGTACCTAACTTAAAATTCACGAAACTCACGCGCTCAAATATGTGGTTATGATCATATGGCAAACCCTAACTTTTACAAATTTTCCTCCAGCTCTTACATAATATGCGAGATCAAAAGCAAACGTCAGCGTGTTCCTATACCAATATCGATGATGGAGTGGACGAATCTCGTAATACTCTGAAATAAACCACAAGTGACATTATTAGAAGCGGGTGTAAGATAGAAAACAGTCGTTACTGTGTCTGTTATTGATCAGAGGTCAGGGTAGGAGGAGGTGACAGATTAGGTCATCTGTAACCCTAGCAGCCCTTCAGAGATAGAAAAGCAACACCGTGGTCCCCATAAACGAGGAGGCCATCTTTAAGCACCAGGAATCTGGTACCAGGGTTTTCTTTTCTAGCTTACACCTGGTTCCTCGGATACTGGTACATGAGGCGGTGTACGGCTGAAAGGTTACAGTCCGACATAACATAAAAAAACAAAAAAAACACGCTTTTGGAGCTAGCCGAACTAGTAGGAAACAATTTCGAAAAGTTAAAAAAACATTCGTAAAAAAGCGTCGTTAAACTAACAAATATAAATAATAACTAACTAAAATATAATAATAATTTTTCAATGGTGATTTCTATCTTAATAAGACTAAAAAGTAACAAGTAAGTTTATCACATAAGTATGCTTCAGCACACGCCTTTGTACGTGGCTAAAGACACTCCCGTATTTTTAGGTACTTATGGAAAAAGCCGTTCATCCTGAAGGTCCTGATCAGGATAATGGGACAAAATACTTAAATTATTGCATTTTCATCGATAGACAAGGATAGGTGTCCAAAGTTTCAATTTAATTCAAGTTTTAAAGTGGATCGAAATCACGTTCTAAGATTCTGTCACATATCCTATACTACTCCGAAAAAAAAACAATATATAACAATGTATAACGGTTATAAAAAAAGCCATAGTTATATATTGTTTAACCTTACAGTCCCCAAAGAGTAACTTTTCCTACTGGAAAAGTTTCTCCACCGTTTCTAAATCCAAACAAATGAAAAACCGTTAACTGAAGGTACTCCTTTAGTTAACGGTTTTTCATTTGTTTGGATTTAGAAACGGTGGAGCCTATATACAAGAGTGTGTCATTATGATGTACGTGGATAGTTGGACAGTGCACTTGGGCGGTGCACTTTTCCATAGTTGTAGTAACATATATGTAGACATACAATAAACGTTGACACATACGGGACCAGGGGTTTGAGCCATGACGTCTGAGTTCATCCAACCCAACGACAGTTTCGTCCATATTTTCGTTCATAATCCATGGATATTTTTTTAATGCATTTTCCTCCATCAGACTTAACAAATCCTTTGTTTGTTCTCCATAAGTTATTCTTACTAAAGCTGAAAAGATAATATCTTTCATAACAATCGGACTGCGAAAAAGATTAAACAATCCACAATTTTACACAAATAAGTGTCCCGATTGGTGTCAACTCCAACGTTCCATTACAAAAGCTTTACGGTATTATAAAAGCTTTTTTACCCGAGTGCCAAGGAAGGGTTATGTTTTTCGCAAGTATCTTGTATGTATGTAATATTCTTTATTACCTCATATCTGCCAAACCGCTGCACGGCTTTATTTTATTAACATATCGTTAGATTCGTCTTGGTAACCCAAGTGTTCTTAGATAGGTGACGCCAAAAAAACAACCTGACGACTATGAGACGCTATAGTTAAAGTGAAATTTATTTTTTTTGGATACTGCAATATGGGTATCAAATTAAAGGGCTCATCATAAGGATTTTAAAATGGTAAATAATTACCATATTTTAATTAGTTCATTACTTTTAAATTGTCTCTTTGCAGTCGGGTTTAAATTTTGTTAAATGATGTAGACTTGCTAATAAAGTGAATAGGCTTGTGTCAGCCTACATGTGCACTACGTTTATGGACAGTACTAATTGCAATACCCTCTTGATCTTTAATAGAAGGGAAAGTAATACATAAGTTACGATGCCCGAAATAAGTGTTAGTTTGTTATTGGTTTCTTCACTACTGATTAATGATAGGAATTAATACTATACTGACACAACAAATAAATTAATATTTTCTCCGCCTTACGCCGTTCCTTCATATTTCAATACTGAAACATATTAAAATTTAATTAACATCACTTTAATTAACAATAAAAAATATCAATGCTATAAACTCTGTATCTGCATAAATGTTCATATTTAAAGGTTTTATAAACCTGTAAAATATTACATATACATTATGTATGTACATACATAAGAATACGGAATGTCACCACCCCTATTCTTCCCGTGGGTGTCGTAAGAGCCGACTAAGGGAGCAAACTCTGCAGGACAACAACACTGCAAAGAGAAGGAAATCTTGAAACAAACCCTATACCAACCCGTCTGGCCAGCGTGGTATAGTAGGCCACAACCTCCTTTATAAGGAGAGGCCTATGTCCAGCAGTGGACTATTAAAGGCTGTTGATGTGATTGATGTGATGATACATATTGCTAGTAAATATGATCTGAGACACATCTTCCCTCGTAATGATCGTAGTTTAATAATACAGACCACTTGAAAAGAGGGACAAAAACAACTTCAGCCCGAAATAATTACAACGATTACCATAAATGGTATGGAGAAATCCTCAAAGGGTATATTTAAGCGTAGTAGTAGTAGTGAACTGGTTATCAACCGAGAAGAGCCATACATTCATAAATTAGACCTTACGCTTGACGTGGAACAAAAATCATTAATACAGATTTTTTGTGACATGCTTCAAGTACAAGGCATGCCTTTTAAGTTTTGTCGTTTGAAGAAAAAAACACAACTAGAACCTTATAGTACTTTTTATTGTTTTTCAAAGTATTCACCACGTAGCTTAATACACTTTTCTATTCGCTCAAACCAGTTATTATAACATTTATTCCACTCTAAAGTGGGGGTGTTCAAAATGGCTGACTTGAAAGCGTCGACTGCTTCTTCACCGGACTGGAACCTTTGACCACGACGACTTTTCTTACTTTTAGGAAGTGTAAAGAAATCGTTAGGGCTTAGGTCAGGACTGTATGGAGGATGGTCAAGAATTTCTTTTTTTTTTCCTGCTTCAAATACTCAATCGTTTGACGAGCGCTGTGTGAGCTTGCGTTGTCGTGGTGCAGGATGATGCGTCGCTTTGATTTAGATTTTCGAAGTTCGGCGATGACTTGTGGTAAACAAACTGTGCTATACCACTCTGCGTTAACCGTTCTACGATCTTCAAGTGCAATAGTCGCAAAATGGCCGGTTTTTCCAACGAGTGGCCACCATTTTCTTTGAAGTGCTTCGAGAACGAACAACTTTAGTCGGCTTTGGCTCGTCTTGAAAGACCCAGATTGTAGATTGTTGTTTGGAATCCGGATCGTAGGCATAGATCCAAGATTCGTCACCACTGATGATGTCGTAGACGTGATTTGACTCTCCTCGGTTGAACCTTTGCAGAGTTTTCTTACACCATCTGACGCGGGCCGCCTTGTGATCGTTGGAAAGCAGATGCGGAATCCAACGGCAAACTAGCTTTCTCACACCAAGCACTTCATGCAAGATCTTCTGAATGGTTGTCCCTGAGATGCCTAACAGAACCTCTATCTCTCGATACGTCACATGAAGATCTTCGAGAATTAGTTGTCTCACAGCAATGATGTTATCTTCAGTGAAGGCGGATTTTGGGCGTCCTTCGCGAGATTTGTCACTTACACTAGTATGTCCACGCTGGAATTCTAAATTCCAGCGTTCGACAGTCCGCAGACAAGAGGCTTCATCACTGAACTGTTAGCTCTTCAAACACTGAAGCCGTGTCAGGCCTCTTCTAAAGTTGTAGAAAATTATTGCACGACCATTTTCCTTAGAAAGATTCATTTTCGTACGTAACCTGACAGATTTCAATCGACGCTGTGACTAAACTATAGCATTAATCCATACCAATATATATATATCCATACCAAACAATAGCATTCATTTTAAATCTGAAAACAGTTGAAAGTATTACTTTCAACTGTTTTCAGATTTAAAATTTAAACACATTCGAATATAGAACAGTTCCAAATTCAATATTGCCGGTAAATATGGAAACGACAGAACTTAAAAGGCATGCCTAGTACTTACATATTTTACAACTAGACGTTACATGTTTCATACTTTTTTTTTTTAATTGTCAGATTTTTTATTACAATAAAGACAAATAAACAATCGTTTCGGATGACGGCAAGCAGTTACCGGTCAGCGACGTAAAATATCTATAGTGTAACTTCTAAGCAAGTATGTTCTCGCAAACTATGCCCACTAGTAGGTCCTGAAATCCAATGCCAACAATATTTTTGGTTTTCTCTAAGGTTGAGACCCGCTATATTCTATAGAAAACTAGCAATCTGCCCCGGCTTCGCACGGGTGCACTGCTGATGCTACTAATATTACTAATGTGGTGTCAGTGTGGAGTAATTAAATATACAATTTGCAATAAAACAATATTGTGATTTTAAATTGAGAGATATAAACTATCATATCTCTCAAGTTGGATCAAACTGCACACATTGTGCAAAATTTGATTAAAATCCGTTCAGTAGTTTAGGAGTTCATCGCGGACAAACAACGTGATACGAAATTTTTATATATAAAGATAGGTCAGTGTAGTGGGGAACATGTAGATAAGCAGAAATCTGTATTAACTTACCGCTAATCGCTCAATAATGTGTTTACGTATATAAAGTGTTTATACTAAAATTCACGATGAATTTTCTTTTGCAGAGATCTGTTATTGTCACTGTGCATAAGCACAGTACTTGCCGCCCCCCAAAAGGACAGCACCATCACTTATATTAAGCTACAAGCTGAATCAGAAAATCATCAATCAGAGGTCAGACAAATTTCTCGAGAGAGCCGTCTAGAAAAGTTACCACTGGCCGCATCATATAACTACAGCGACGAAAACCAAAAAGGACTCACGACCAAACCGGACCAAGAAGTACAATTAGAACAATCCAATGAAACTTCTAAAGAACCACCAAAATACAACTACCCGGACAGGATATATTCCATTAAAACTAAAAAGAATAAGAAGGACCTCACAGAAAGTAAGACCACACAACTGTTGTCAGTTGTCACGGAAGGAGCTATCATTAATTTAGACATTTTGCCAGCGGAAACCTTGCATACTGATTTATTGACGACGTTAGACAATTCCACAGAAACATTCAATACAATCCAAACAGACGTCACCGACAATAATGGACTAGTGACCGAACAGTATGAATCTGAACCGACATTACGTGCAGAAGTAGACATAGAAACAACAAAAGAACCGTTCGTGACATTTAAACCGAAATTGAGTTATTATGGAAAGTCTACATTGAAATCTTTTGCTCAAAACCTAATAGCAGTTTCAGGAAAACGAAGATTCAGGTCCCGGTGTAAATGTGAAAAAATATGGAACTGTGCAAAATTACAAATAAGCGTAGCAAGATGTCCTGACGAATATTTCTTGTGCTGTGGATAAACCACTGAACAGAATATATTAAATGGATAAACATTCGCGTATGAATATATTCATAGCAAAAAGGGTATTAAAGACTTTTTAGTTTATAAGCCCACCGAGCTTCGTAGCTATTCCTGTATAGTACGTATTAAACAAATATTTTTGGTATTCAAGTGACTTTAAATTAATTCAGTGCGATTATAAAATTAGAGTTCAGTATGATTATAAAATTGTGATAAGCTGACATAAACAATGACAAATGTATTGTAAAAAATCATAAAAATACAACTTCTAAAAAGTATAGGTACCGATACTTAAAATATATTTGAAATTCAGTTATATAATATGAAATATTCGCATTTATTCCATCCAAGTCTTCCTAACACTAAAATTTCGTCAATATACACAGCTTCAATTTTGTAACATTATTTTTAAATATTAGGTACAAATTAGGTGTCAAATAACATAACGATTCTGAGTGAATCCTCAAAACAAGACTGACTCCAACTGTGTACGAGTTTTGCAAACATGAAATGTCAAATCAAATCAAATCAAATCAAATCTTTATTTGCCAACCAAGTGTACATCAATGATCTTATAATATTATATGTAGTAGTCCCAACTCAGAAGCCTTTTCCAGGCATTGCAAAAATTTGAGAGAGAACGCAGAAGAATAAAACAATACAAATTAAGTGACTCATAGTACAGTATAACAATCGAATAAAGCATGCAAAAATACGAAGGCACCCGACATTCTACATCACTAATACATATACACATTTTCCTACTGTCCCGAGCATTTCCGAGCATCACGACCGATTTTTCTTTTTATGATTTGTACTTAGGTATATGCTTTCTGTTTTCCGTGTAATAAGAAATGTAGTTTGTTAAGTGTTTTTTTCCTCAATGTATTCTTTAACAGAATAGAAACATTTTGTAATTAAGAATGCTTTTAGTTTTTTAATGAATAGTGTAGTCTTCGTTTCATTTTTTATGTGGATAGGTAATTTGTTGTATATTTTTACAGCCATGTAGTAAGGGCTCTGGTGTAGCATTTTAATTCTTGATGGTGGTAGGTATAGTCTGTCTCTGTGGCGTGTGTTTAAATTGTGATTGTCTTTTACTCTCGCGAAGTGACTCATGTTCTTGGATACAAATATGCAGATGTCAAATATGTATAATGATGGTAGTGTGAGGATGTTATATTTAATGAAGAAGGGCCTACAACTATCACGATTTCCAATTTGTCCGATAATTCTAATACATTTCTTTTGTAATATAAATAAATCCTGAAAGTGTACACTGTTTCCCCACAACATAATGCCGTATCGTAACCAGGAGTATGCGTATGCGTAGTATGCTGACAGTGCGGTTTTTTCGTTTGTGCTGCATTTAAGTTGGAATAGAGCATATGTAAATCGAGACAGTTTATTTTTTGTATGTTCGATGTGTGCTTTCCAGTTGATGTGTGTGTCTATAGTTATACCAAGTAATTTGAATGTATCTACAGTTTCTAGTTGTGTGCCATTGTATGTTGTGTCGATGTTTACGGGGGTGTTTCTGTATGTTCTAAATTGGATAGTTTTTGTTTTGTTATAGTTAATTTCTAAGTTATGGTCGTTGAGCCAGTTATTTACTGTATCTAGAGTTTCCTGAAGTAGTGGTGTCGGCTTTGTGGTTTTGTCATAAGTAATTAGTATTGATATATCATCAGCAAATAGGACAGGTAATGTATGTTCCTTGTTTAGTACTTTTGGTAAGTCGTTGATGTATATCAGAAATAGCACACAACCCAACACGCTGCCCTGCGGGATTGAACACTTTATGTTCCTTTTTTCAGACCGGACTATTTTAACCTCATTCGTATTGGGGTCGAAATGGTCAATTTGGACCATTTGTGATCTATTTTCTAAATATGATCGAAACCATGTGTAAGCTGGGCCGCGAATACCAGAACCGCTTAGTTTATTCAAAAGAATGTCGTACAATACTTTGTCATAGGCTTTCGTCATGTCAAGTAATACTCCGAGTACATGTTTTTTGTCATTTATATGTTTTATGGTAGTCTGGATATACTTATATACTGCTAGTGTAGTTGATCTTGATTTTCTAAATCCATTTTGACTATCATCGAGAATGTTATATTTTTCCAAAAAATCATATAATCTGTTACACATTGTTTTTTCAAATACTTTCGAAAATGTGGGTAACAGAGCAATAGGCCTATAATGACCAGGTGTGTAGGTGTCGCCTTTTTTGTGTATCGGTTTGATTATTGATATCTTTAGGGGGTCTGGAAATTGGCCATCTTGAAGGCTTTGATTAACTAAAAATGTGAGCGGTATTGACAGTTTTTCTGCACACTGTTTCAATAGAATTGGGGGGATTTCATCTATGCCACAGCTGTGTGTATTTTTAATTGAGCGTATTATGTCGATTATTTCTTTTCTATCTACAGGACGCAAGTACATGGAGCACATTTGTGAGTTTATGACGGGTCGACCCAGCGCACTGTTTTTGTTGGTTTTATTGTTATTCGTGCCCATACCCACAGTAGCAAAATACTCACTGAAATTGTTGCAAATAGTTGTTGGACATGTTACAATGTGGTTGTTAATTTTTAATGATATATTTTGTGGAGGGAGTCTTTTTTTTTGTTTACCTGTTTTTTGATTTATGATATTCCACATTGTTTTTGTTTTATTATCGGAGTTTTCCATTTGTTTACAAAAATCAAGTTTTTTTGATATGTTTACACTACGCTTTAGGGTTTGGCTATACTTTTTATAAAATTTATGTATAATATCATTATCATTCACATTCAGAAAGGCCCTTAATTTTCTTTTGTGTGCACATGATTTCCTAAGGCCGGTAGTGAGCCATTCTTTTTTTGGTTTATTATTTATTTTCAGCTTTTTTATCGGTATGTGTGTATTAAGTAATTTAGTCAATATATTGAGAAATAAATCGTAATTGGTGTTTAAATTGTTGTGTGTGTTGATTATTTCGTGCCATTTTATGTCATTTAATGAAGTGTTAAAATGCAATATGTTCCTTTCTGTGAATAGTCTTTTCTGTAAGTACCAGGTTGTGTTATTATTAGGATAAGAGTGTTTCGATTTTATTTTTAGTGTAATACCCTTATGATCAGAGAGACCATAATCTTGGACGCTGGCTTTATTAATAATGGGCATGTAGTTAGTGAAGAGTAGATCGATGCAGGTTGAGGAGCCTTTTGATACACGTGTTGGTTCTCTGATAATCTGTTTGAGATTGTTTGAAAACATTAAGTTGATAAGATTCTCCGTCTGTTTATTTTTGTTCAAAATGTTTATATTGAAGTCACCTCCCAATATAATATATTTATTTTTGTATTTGGTGTTTAATTTATGTAACACTTTCTCTAGCTGTTCAAAAAATGTATTAATGTGTCGGTCTGCTCTGTATAAACCAATGAAAATACAATTTAATTTCGGTATTTCTACGGCACTAAATTCTATTATAAATTCTATAGTATAATTGTTTATATCTTGACACTCAAGATATTCTAAACTATCCTTAATAATTGCACAAACACCTCCCCCTTCATGCGTTTTACGACAAAAGGTGGAAGCCATTCTGTATCCAGACAACGAAATCATATCACAATAGTTCTTATTTTTCCATACTTCTGACAATAGCAATATATCTATGTTTAAGTCTTGTAGGAAGTGCTCGACTAGATGAAGTTTATTGCCTATACTTTGTATATTCTGAAAGATAACATTTAGTTCAGTATCGAAAATTATAGTTACGAGTGGTTTTCCCTTGTGTTGACATTGGCGCTGCTGGCTGTGGCTGCGATGGTGTTTGTATTTTGTTGGTTGTAGTGTTGTTGCTATCTAAACTCGTTCTGCAGTTATTGTTTTCGGTATTTGGTATCTGGGACTGGGACGTTTCTGTGGTTTGTGGGGAACTTTTTTTGTACTCTTTACCATTTATATACAGTTTGTTATTTTTAATTATAGCATGGTTACCATTTTGTCTAGCTATTCTCAGGTTTTCCCGGAGTTCGTTGCGATTCATTAATGTTTTTCTATCCATGAACATCTCAACAGCCAGTCCTGAGTTCCGAAAACAGTTAGAGTTTTCCATCACGTATCTTGTTATTCTCTTATTTGTTAATTCTATAGCTAAGGGTCTATGGCCTCCTCGCTTTCCAATACGCCTTATCTCTTCTATGTATGGATCAATGTTAACATTCATTATGTCATGAAAGGCTCTAGAGATGCGGTCTATAAGGGTGTGTTCCGTTTCGTGGTGCGGTTCAGGCAGCCCATAAAGTACTATTTTTCTTGAATTTTTTAAAAGGTGTAATTGGTGTTCGATATGCTCTATGTTTTTGTCAATTGAGTAAATTTTTTCTTTTATTTTATCTTGTTCTATTATTAGGGTTGTCGTGGTATTTTCTACTTGGTTTCGAAGTTTTAATAAAGCAGTGTCCATTTCTGTCTGAATCGTAATTTTAACATCTTCGAGAAGAGATATTTTCATTTTTTCGAGTTTGGAATCTAAAAGTTTGCTGAATTTTTCTAGCATTAAATCTTCAGTTTTTAAGGATTCGGGGCCGTTTGGAGCTAATACAATACTGTCCGAAGTTAGGTTCATTGTATTCCCAATTATGTCGTCTAAAGTTTGATCATTTTCATTTTTGTAGTTTTGTGTAATCTGAGTGGGTCTTCGCCTTATTGTAACGTTCATAGAATCATCGCAGATGTGTTGTTGTATGTATGGTTTTATTGGGGTGTTAGAGTTGTCTCCCTTTGGCATATTGCATATGCAAGCTTGGCATTTCCATATATTTTTTTGCTCATTTGACATAGTATTATTAAAGTGGTATTTAGGGATGTTTGCGCATTGCAGATCGTAATATTTATTGCAGTAGGCGCATTTTAAGAACTCTGAATTACCAGTATTACATTTACATCCTTCGCATTGAGGCATAGTGGATGATAAATATTTGTCGTACTAGGTTTTGTTGATGGATATTGGTAATTGCAGATCCCTCTAGTGGCGTAAATAGGTATTATTTACGCAGTTGTGCTGGTGGTTTATTTGTTAAGGATGGAGTGTAGTAGTTCCGCATCTATGTCATAGATGGCTCTGTTTGCATGAATTTTTGTGATTTCTGTGGTAGAAATTCAAATAAGATAACAGACTTTTTTTTTCACTCTTACGCGTTAATTAGTTTTAGAGAGTTTGTTTAGTATTTCCACTGTAAAAGATTCTGTGGTTTCGTGAGATGTTTCTGCTATGCTATTTTATATGTTTTCAGCTTTTAAATTCACTGTTTAGTCTGTTACACTGTTTTTATTGACAAAATTATTTTTCACTTGTTTTTTTTTTTGCACTGTATATATATGCTCACTAACAATAGAATGTCTAAAAATTTATGTCTACATGTTTGAACAAGAACTCATTCATTGGTAAGTGACCACCGCAATAGGGGAGTGGGGAGGGGGGGTTGTTGGGTCTGTAGGTCCCTCACTCGATGAAGAGCAAGGAAAGAATTGCTTAACACCAGTTTTCTGTGAAAACCGTATCACTTCGGTCAAGCTGGTCCATATGACGTGCCGAAGCATCTCTAAGACAAAGTCAGTATTTATTTATCAAATTTATATCTTTATTTAAGCTAGAGATTAATTGAAACTCATATATATTCGTCTTACTTTTAATTAATCGACAGTTATCACAAAATATAACAATTTTTTAAATAGTTACAGACGATAAGAGGTTGTCCACGTTCAGCTTATATAGGTATACACCTTAGTCGATCCATTTCTCTTTTTAGAAATAAGCTAAATGTACACAGCCCTTACTAATTTATAAGATTATTTATAAACCTATACATTCATATATTTTTACACAACTAAGTCATATAATCCACTACAAGTTTTATCAATAAACATCAATTTAACAAACATTTTAAGCTTAGATAATTTTTTTTCAATTAAATCGGTTGTTTTGAAATGGTCACGATTTTTTCTTATTTTTAGTTGAAAGTTATAATTACACTAGTAACTTAATACGTAAATAATAATGGTCATGTTTAAAAAATCTAAAAGAATATTTAAAGTCCTCGCGGATACATCAGATGATTTACACGACAGACAGAAGTAAGTTAACTTTTATATAATATAGGTAATATTTGGCACAGTTTCTAAAGACTATATTTTTTTAATCCAATAAATTTAACAGTATTATAAGGGCAGTCAAATGGTGTATGTCATATCAGTCCGACAGTGCCTTTTTTTGACAACATATAGGTACGTAACTTATGTAAAATGCTTAAAATGCTGATTGAGTATTTTGGAAAAATTACGAATAATAATATTATTAAATGACAGATCAAATCTATGTACTTGTGAAACTGATGTTACTTGCTGTAAACTTCAATTAAACCATAATATACATACTAAATAGGAAATACCAGATGTTACAACGGCAGCGGTTGTCTATGGGACGCAGTCATTGGATGCGCACGTATTTTTTTAATTTGCCAAAAAAAAAGGATCAATAATTTAATTATTTTAAGTTTAAAGTGTTGTTAATGGTAATTTTTTGATATACATATACTTTTAGTTCAAACGCGAAAGTAATAAAAGAGAAAAACACAGCAAAATCCGACATAAGCTTAGTAAAAATATAAGTTACATAAGTTTTTGACTGCCTCCAATATTTAAATGAGCAAGAAAAACTATTAATAAGTGTATATAATATTCTGAAACACCTTTTTTATCGTAAACGTATACGTATTACCTGGCGTATGTTCTTGCAGCTCAAGCACTCTCGCCCGTTACAGTTACAGGCAGTATATAAATGATGGTTACAAAATGCCTTATACATAATTTTCATAAACTCAATAAGTAATTCAAACAATAAATATATGTTTCAATAATATGGAAGACAGGCTCAGTCTGCATAGAGTAAATTCGCTTCACGTCCACATCGCTCCTGAAAAGAGAATAATAATAATATTTACTAACGTCAAATTAAGTACAAATTTTCTAATATAATAGCATTTTCTTAGGTTAATTACACAGTATAGTCAGGCTCTGGTACCCACGGTAAGATTAAACTTCTGTTGTGGGTACCAGTCCCTCTCTCATTCATTATGTTTTCTATATTTTTTTACATTTTTCGGATATACTTGCGTGTGAGATATACATGTGTGTGTGTGTGTGTGTGTGTGTGTGTGTGTGTGTGTGTGTGTGTGCGTGTGTGTGTGTGTGTGTGATGTCCTGCTATTTTGCATTGCATTGCATTCATTGTATAAGCGAATGGTGGGATATCCAAATTCGTTCGATTTCTTATTATGAGTAGACCCAGAAAATAGCATCCAGACTTATACTGAAAGAATATAACTTACCTGGTGTTCGCTGATGAGGTAGACGGGTAAAGACTCCAAACAGAATTCGCAAGGTATTACAGGATCTTCGTAGGAGTCCTGCCGGGCGACCTGCGACCGCGGTGCTGACCTTGACGCGGACTGGACTTGGGCCACGGGTGAAACCGTTCTAGGTCGGAATTGTGCCAAATCCGGACGGCAGCCCGTCTGCAAATCATTCAGTAGTCGCTTTATCTATGCTGTCCTATGTACATTTTACCTCAATTCTATCTTTAACGATTTAAATGAGCTAACAAACCTACAAAAACATATTAAACAGTATGCTTAAGGACGCTACAGGTTCCTATTCTCTCAGAAGTGCGGTTAAAATGACAATCTGTTTTTTGTATATCATAGGAGGGCAAACGAGCAGACGTGTCACGTGATGGTAAGTGACTACCACCGCCCATGGACACCTGCAACTCACGAGTCACTAGTGGGTTGTCACCCTAAGAGCATCCACCCCATTATTAGGGGAGAAAACTTTACCTACTCCGTGAAAAGCAACATCGCTTAACACTAGTGGAACCGGCCATATTATGCCGCATGGCTCTCCCACGTTTAACTGTTTCTGGTATTATATATTTTTGTAAAAGCATAAAATGCAGGTGCAAGGCACCACTTCTGTGGATGCATAATTGAAGCATGATGTTTCAATTATGTGTAAACGTAAACATTTGTAGTCCTCATTAAGGGGCGTCCATTAATTACGTGAGGCGTTCAGGGGGGGGGGGGGGAAGGGGTTCGAACCAAATCTCATCTAATCTTACTTTTGGGGAGAGGGGGGTTTCGGCAAATATCACTAAACATTTTTATCCGCAAGAAACAGAGTAAATTTGCGGGAAAACTGGTTTAAATTAAGTAAAACATGTAGGTACCTAAGCAATTATTTTTTTTAAATCTTACGTGTGATTGGGAGATAGGGGAAGGGGTTGAATCAAATCTCACGACATCTCACCAGGGGTGGAAGGACGGTCAGAAAATCGCCAAAAACCCCTCACGTAATTAATGGACGCCAACTAAAAAATAGTTTTTATTAGCGACGGCAAATCTTCTGCATTAAAAGAAATCTCTATAGCATGAAGTCTTGCGTTGCGTCAATAACAGGTTGTATTTTAAAAAATAATTTACTTGATGTTGCACCAAGTCTGCGGCAGGAATGAGTGTATCACAGAACTCGCATGGAAGTCGATCATCGTCCTGTGGCGGAGGCGGGTTTGCTCGCTCCCTGAAATACAATATTATTAGATTAAAATATACAATCCAAAATATATCAACTACGGTGAGAGCAAATGATTTATATGTGCCTTGTGATAAATACATATTATATTAACAGATTTTATATATACAACAGATTTTGTATATTTTTTAATTTCAAATTGCAGTGGAATCGCTCTCAATGTAGGTACCTATAAGAAAATTATATAAAAAAAAAAAAATTATAAATTCTCAAATTAATAAATTTAAATTTACTGTAATATTTTCTTATATATTAAATAAATAAACAAAAAATGTATGTAAACCTAATCATTGAAAAAAAAACTTACCCATTATTATTCAAGGCAGAATTGTATGGTGCCGTTACCTATAAAAAAAAAACATTTTTAAGAGCATTTCTTATGCATATATAAAATGTTTAGAATGCCTTTTTATTTGAATGTTAGGGATACACAGATATTATGGTAAATAATAATAATATTTCGGACATCTAACACACAACGCCATCTAGTTTCAAACTAAGCAGAGCTTGTATTATGAAAGCTAGATTGTTTGATATAATACTCATATACTTTTTTTGTAAATAAATACATATTATAGTTAGAAAACACCCAAACTTCTAAACAAGTATTTGCAGATCATACAAACATTTCGGTCCAATGACCCGGGAATCGAACGCGAGACCTCAGAACAGGAGTCGCATACGCTACCACTGCAAGACCGAGACAGTCAATAAAACAATTAGTAATCAACATCAGAATTCCCTTAGGCATGTTTTTTTAAATTGATATGTTGTTTACATCACGTTGACAAGTTACACCACCGAGACAGTCAATAAAACAATTATAGGCCGACCGTTTATCTGAGTCCTCGCCTGCGCGGTAACAGGGGCGCGGGGGTATGACGACAAAGGGGACTGAGACAGGTGCGGGCGGCGGGCGAATTTTTGTAATCGCTCATTTCGATCGCAACGCGGACAGCGATCGCACGTGTTAATTGTTGCGGACGCCTTGTGAGAGGTACACATGTGATAACAATCTCAAGATGAATCGTAAGATCTTCGGTCATAAAGTGAATAGTCGGTGCAAGCAAATGGCTTTAAACGTGTACGAATATTTTAGAAAAAAGAAACTGGACCCAAATTATGTTGAATATCAACAAGACATACATTTAAACAAAACCGTAGCAGAAGTTACTGGACTATCGGAAAAGACTGTATCTAGAATCGTACATCAAGGGAAATTATTAAAAATACAACGAAAGATTCAAATCACCGAAAAAATCAAAACAGGTTCGCAAAAAAGAGTAGAAATAGACGATTTCACAAAAGGAGTGGTAAGAAGAAAAGTCACTCAGTTTTATACAATTGATAAAAAAATACCTACTCTGAAAACGTTGTATGCTGTACTTAGAGAAGAGAATATATTACACTGCGGAAGGGAATATTTAAGGCTGTTGTTACATGACCTAGGTTTTAAATTTAAGAAATGCGGTTCTAAAAGGAAACTCCTTATTGAACAGCCAAATATAACAACGTGGAGGTGGAAATATCAAAAAATATCGTAGAGAAGGAAGACATATTTTATATCTTGACGAAACATATGTAAATGAGTCTCACAACGTTTCAAAATGCTGGCAATCTAAGGACGTACATGGCGTACTATCTCATATTGGAAAAGGGAACCGTTTGATCATCGTACATTGTGGAGGTCAAACTGGATTTGTAGACGGAGCACGGAGCAAATGTAAAACAGGTGATTATCACGATTCTATGAATTTCGTGAATTTCAGTAAATGGATAAATGAAAAGCTAATGCCCAATATACCACCAAATTCCGTCATCGTGATGGATAACGCAGCTTACCATTCGGTTCGAGAAGAAAAAAAGCCGACTATGGCTTCTACCAAGGCAGTTATGCAAACATGGTTACGACGACACGACGTGGTGTTCGATGATAAGCTGAAAAAGGACGACTTATCAAAATTGATTAAAAAGACAGAAACTGAAGATATTTATAAAATTGACGAGTTATTGAAAAGAAACGGGCATGAAGTGTTGCGTTTGCCTCCTTATCACCCAGACCTGAACCCTATTGAGTTGGTTTGGGGTGACATTAAGGGACAATTAGCACAAAAAAGTGTAGACTCTAATCTAGACAAAAAAAAACTATTAGAGGGATTATTTGCTGAATATTCTGCACAGAAGTGGGAGCATTGTGTTAACCATGTAAGTAATATCGGGGACGAGTACTGCAAACATGATGGAATTCGGGATGATGCTGTCATTTTATTATTAACACTCTGGACGACTCTGATGAAGCCGATGATGACTCCTTCGAAAGTGAAGAATCAAGTTCCACCGACATTGATATGGACATAACTGATTGAAATATAATTTTGATGATTATTCTATATAATAAATAGTACAATAGTTTATTACCAAATATTTTATTTACGTACCTTCATAGCTTTTAGTTAGTTAATTAAAAAAATTGTATTATCATTAATAATTTTTCATTTAATAAATCACTATTTCTTTACTATGACGTCACATATCTTAGGAACTATCTTGGCGCATTTCATCTCGTGTGTGCGGTGCGGGCAAGTGCGGACAGGTGCAGGCGGCGGGGCCGCTTAGTGAGATCACTAAGCGGCCCCGCCGCCCGCACCTGTCTCAGTCCCCTTTGTCGCCCCGCGCCCCTGTTACCGCGCAGGCGAGGACTCAGATAAACGGTCGGCCTATAGTAATCAACATCAGAATTCCCTTAGACATGTTTTTTTAAATTGATATGTTGTTTTGTCACTTTGACAAGTTACGGATGAAATAATAAAACATAACCTTAATAAAATCGGATAAGAACTACTAATAAAATAAGAAAAATATCATCATCATTACAAGAAACAATTAATTCAAATTGGAGATCTCCTCGTTTTATTTTATGGCCCAGTATATCTTGAACTGTCATTCAAATCAAAATAGATATGTTCTAGACGCCTGTAGCTTTATGTAACTGTTTTTACATAAAACTTTTGTTTTTTTTTATGTACCTATATAAAGATTTCAGATCATCGAAATTCAGCCATATCGTAGTAGACTTAAAACAAGCCCAACTTAGTTTGTGAAAAAGGCTCAGATGAAAAATAATTATATGTATGTAGAAGAATTTTATTGTAAGTGTAATATACTGCCGTACTTCATATAACGTACGTAGCTTCACATATTAATACATAGATTTAATAATGATCAATCTAAAATCTTACCTCGTTCAAGCCTCTTCTTAGTTCCCTCAAACTTGATTTAATCTCACTGAATCTATCAGCACTCTTCCTTCTATTTAACTCTCCGTCATTTCTCAATTGTAATTCACTGAATCTTTGCATGAACTCCTGAGGAGTCATTGGCTTCAAGTTTTTGAACTCTTGTCTAGTCCTCTCGTTTTCATTGGAACCTAAAACATATCCAGAACCACTGGCCTCATTGTCTGGAGTCTTCCACACGCGACCTTGGAGTTTGTCCTTAAAGTTTACTTGAGGTTCAGGGTTTTGGAGAGCATCCATCTTCCGAAGTTTGTCTAATTTCGCTGCAGGACTTAAGACTGGCGGCAGACCTGCGTATTGAAGTTTCTATAGATCAATCCTTTTTTGTTTCCTGAGTAAATACTACATTAATGGTAACGATGTCGCTGATACCCTCAGACAATTTGTTATCTCACTAAGATATGCGTTTGGACAAGTGACTACCTAGTTGTCTTCCCCTTAAAACTAAAAATTATACCATAACATGGATGTGTGTCTGCTAGTGAAATCATCAATATATATATTCTAGTGCAGTTTTGGTGCTTTAATTGTGGCTTATACAGGCTGATCGCTCGCTAGATTCGAAAACTAAAAGTTTTTCAGAGCAGTTTACACAGTCTATCGAAGCTACAGATTATGTGGAAGTGGCAACAGATTAACATAATAGGATTTTATATCATTAAAGAACTACATGCAGCTTGCTGATGAACTGTTATAGATACAATTATGAAAAAAACGTATAGGTAAAGCAAAACAGTTCACAAACATTTTAGTTTTATTTATTTATAACTTTATGCACTTTTTTACATAGGCGGACTTAATGACCAAGACATTCTCTTCCAGTCAACCTTTAGGTAGTGTAGAAATCGTGAGTGGTAGGCGCACATAGGTTATAACACTAATCACTAAGATATACATTACACAACACAAAACACGCAATTTTATACACAAACAAATACACACTATACACATATATACATATATATACATACATATATATATATATATATATATATATATATATATATAAATACACATACATACACTATACATATATATGTGTATCTACACATATACAAACATATATTCGCATTATATTCGTACACCATGAGTAGGAAAATTAGCCTACTACTAAAACTACGGAACGGTTTGTGGACATCCTGGATTCAATCGGGAGCGCATTCCAGAATAGAACTGCTTGAACGAAGAACGAAGAGTTCACGAAGTCGGATTTGTTGGAGGGGCAAAGGGGGGATAAGAGAAGCAAATTATTTGCAGAGCGAAGATTCCTGTCGTGATTAATAGACAAGAAACGGAGGTAGGGAGCAAGGTAAGTAGGTGAGGATGGAGAGATAAGAAATGAAAATAAAGAAGTAACCAGTTCAGTTGGGAACGTACGGCAGACACGTGGTCATACTTGCAAAGGTTGTAAATGTATTAAGGAGGTCTGCATTCAGGTCGAAATAACATACATCACCATAGTCTATTAAAGGAATTATTAATGACTGCATGAGAGTAGTTTTGGTTTTAGGAGGCAGGAAATTTTTGAGGCGATATAGTGTTCGTAAGTTAACAGTTACTTTTTGACTCACATGAGTAACCTAAGCTCGCCAATCGATAGTTGAGTCAATGAGTAGATCTAGGTCCTTGACTACAGGGCTGAAAGGTATGACTGAACTTTTGAAGACGATCGGTGAGATTGAAGCAGTATTTAATCCGCTTATCATTTGTTTGCTGCCTACAATGATCGCCTGATTGATCGCATTTGATTGGGTTTACCGACAGTCCGAATCTCATCGACCAAGAATTTATGAATTCTAGGTCCCTGCTAACTTCTTTAACGGCCTGCGCTACGTCCCCCACCCTCGCCTGTGAATACAGCTGCAGATCATCAGCAAACAGGTGATACGCACACTGAAGATGTTGTGTGATGAGATTGAAAATAAAAGAGGAGATAATATTCCGCTGTGTGGGACGCCAGAGTGAAGGTCGCACCAGATTGAAGAGGCGTCTTCGACACGAACACACTGCTGTCGCCCCTGAAGATTGGTAGAGAACCATTCCAGTGCCTCTAGATAGAAAGTGAAGAATAGATCTACTTCTAATAGGTCTTAAATGTTCAGGAAGTGAAGGATTACTTTTTTGGGAGTGGGATGATGTAAGCCTTGCGCAAATGAGAGGGGAAAGTTCCAGAATCGAGGGAGAAGTTAATTATATGAGTAACTGCTAAGAGGATATGGTCCAGGATGGTAACAATCATGCGACGGCTAATGCCATCATACCCTACAGCATTAGAGCCGATAGATAGGATAATCTTTTTGATATCCTCATTAGGCTCCGCAAAAAATTCAAATGAGTCAGTAGTGGAAATGTTTAGGCCGGATATATAGTTCAAGGTTTGACACTTAGTTTGAAGATCCAGCGTATTTGCAGATGAGAAATGACGGTTGATATCATTCAAACCAATAGTATTTTTGAACTCGGGATGTTGTCGTTTGCCAATACCTAATGTACTAAGAAATTTTCTTTGGGAGGCTTTAGGATGTAGGAAAGGAAGATCAGGTTATGGTGGAAAAAGACACAAGGTTAGGGGCAGAGGTGAGCATTAGCTCAAGCCAGGTATCTTGGTGTTCACCTGCGCCTCATGCCGCCCTGAGTGTGGCCGCGGGTGGACGGGATAGGTTTTCCCCTCGGCCCGCATTAGTTTGGCCAGCCGCGAGGGGGCGGCGTCCGCGTGTGCCGGACGTCGCATAAGGAGAGGGTCCACTGAGACGGAGCCCGCGCCAGGAGCGGGCCGGCGCTGGGAGGGGTCCAGAAGGCGATAACAACCTGGACCCCTCCTAATATAGAAGCGGAAAGAAGGCACACCGTGTGGTTTTAGTCGGTTCGAGTCCGACACACCGCCCCGCCGAACAGAAGACCCCGGCGGGGTGACGGTCCGAGGGGATTTCCACAGGTAAAAAAAAAAAAGGTATCTTGGTGTTCAGTATTATGGCGAGTGGCAAGGGGCAGGACGTGAAGGCTGATTGTTTGGATGATTTGAAAGAGATTGCGTGTTCGGGAAGCGTTTGGGCCAGAATGTCTTTGCTAAAATCTTCTAAGCAGTGGACTATTAAAGGCTGTTGATGTGTGATGATGATGATGATGATGATGATGATATGATGTAAGTCTAGAAACTAAAGATTCCACAACTGTTTCCAGACTGGAGAAGTAGTTAATAACGGGAGGGCAGTAGACTACGTCTAGAATTACGTTTACTCCCTTGACACAAACCTCGAGAAAGAGATATTCCGCACTTGTGGAAGTATCGGAAGAGGAAGAGACGAGAATTTTACGATATAGGAAACTACGGAGGTAGATAGCAACGCCACCACCTCTTTTGTCTAAACGGTCGTTGCGGATGAGGACAAAGCCAGTGAGAGGACATAAGGTGGAGGGTAGGTGATGTTTGAGCCAGGTCTCCGAAATCAGGATGGCATGAACGTCATTGGCAGAGAAAGTCTCGGTTAAGTCGCTAAAGTGGGTGGGGACACTCTTAATCAACGTCATCTTGCCTTGGGAATGTATAAAAATAATAATTAAATCAATTTCTGGGACACCGAAAAGTAAATTAGTCATGATCATCCACAGCCTTTAGTAGTCCACTGCTGAAAATAGGCCTCTCCTTAGAAAGGAGGCTTTGGCCTACTATACCACGCTGGCCTGACAGATTGATATAAGGTTTGTTTCAAGTTTTCCTTCTCTTTGCGGTGCTGTTGTCCTGCGTAAATTAGAGTAAGAAAAACAAATACGAGAGAGCTAGGGTAAGAAATACTCGGGCACGCCGTCATCGCGGCGGTAAGACCCGTTATGGAGGATTGGCTCGAGAGGCGTCACGGGACCCTCTCATACCGACTGACGCAGGTGATCACTGGGAAAGGATGTTTCGGGGATCACCTGTGTCTGATCCGCAAGGAGCCAACGCCTGAGTGCCACCACTGCGATGGCCAGACCGTGCACACGGCTCTCCACACGCTGGCAGAGTGCCCGGCGTGGGTTGAGCAGAGGCGAGACCTCGTGGCGGTCATCGGAGTGGGAGTTCTCTCGCTCGATAGCCTGATTGCGGCTATCGTGCGGAGCGAGAGTGCGTGGAACTCTGCCGTCTCCTTCTGCGAGCAAGTTATGCTCGCGAAGGAGACAGCGGAGCGGGACCGGGAGAGGTTTAGGACTCTCCCGGCCCGCCAGGCCCGGGAACGGGCCAGGTACCGCAGGCGACTCAGGCGCCGTCCTCCATAAGCGCAGGCCTGGGGGTGCCAGGTGAGGCCATCTGTCACCCTAGCAGAAGCAGGCCGGGGTGGCGGCGAGCGCGTTGCGAAGCGCGCTCGCTTCCAGGGAGCACAGGGAGCACAGGGAACATGGGGTTCCCACACGGGGGGGGGGGTTGTCTACTCGTCTGTAGATGACCTGAGGTATGTCGGGGTACCAGGGACTTCCTTTTTAGGGTATACCTGGTTCCCCGGCTATTAGTACCCGAGACGGCGTGCGGTTTTAGTCGGTTCGAGTCCGACATGCCACCGACGGGTGGTATCCGAGGGGATTTCCGCAAGGAAAAAAAAAAAGGGTAAGAAATACTGCAAACCTCGGATGTGATTTGCAGTATCTTACGATCTGCATATAATACTATCTCTAGTTCAACAAAATAGAGCTGAAGATTTTTCTTTGCTTCATCGTTTGTTTGGCTCTATCAGATTTTAAATATTCTTAACGTACGAACGGTCACGGACCTAAAAGTTCAATAGTTCAAAGAGGCTGAGATCGCATACCCTTATGTCGTTTCTTCCTTAGGGAAATCAACTGGCTTAGTACAGAAACAGAATTTTATTTCTAAATTAAATATCAAACATCACTAACCTACAGACAGGTTATAAGCAGTCTGTTCTTGTCTTGCTTTCTCTTCATGCTGTTTCCGTTGTAAAGCACTGTAGTAGGGCAGGTCGCGGAGCGGTTCTAAAGTGGATGGTTCAGTCGGTGGTTTCGGAGCCGGACGTTTCTTGACAGCACCACGTGATATGCCTCTGTGCATATTGTGAGAGTTATAAGTCTATGCCAGCTATGCTGTCATGATTACAATCACAATGCGAGCAGGCGTTTCCTTAATGAAAGTAATGTAATGTGATAGCTTTACAAACTTTTAATTACTTTTTGAACTAATTTAAGCTTCTAATCTTATTGTGAAAATTTGAATTGAATGCAAAATAAAATTTGAAACGACAGTAACAATTACTAGAGTGAGGTCAACAGATTTCCTTGAAATTGTAATCAAGCAGTTTTGGCAACCAAACTACTAATTTGTGGCATATAGGTAATACCCCAGTATTATATAAAACTGTACAGAATGTAAAAAACTTACAGATTCTTATCGACTTTATTCTCCGCGGCTACATTGGTGTTGATCTGTGGCTGGTCATTGGTTCTTTTTACGGGTGGCTTAGGTCCATTGATAGGATTCGACGTTCTCCAGCCATTCGTAGATCCCGCATCGAGAATTGAACTTGTGCCTGGCTTGTCAAAGTATCTCAATTCAGTGTTGGGTCCCTGGTTGACATTTTTAACATAACCATTTGTTCTGCTCTCAAGTTTGGTAGTTGTCTGCAGATGGCCGTTACTTGTGGACGGTATATTGGTGAATTTAGTAATTAAAGGCTTTGATGTAGTGGTTATTGGAGGGTCCTTTTTAGAGACCGGTGTGGGATCTGTAAAAGATTTTTGCAATTTTACAGACGAACAGACAGACCATAATCTCACTCAAGAATTAACACCGGTGTTCTGTGAGGCCGTGGTATCACTACGGTCGAGTTGACCCATATGTGCATAGGTCTCCCACAGTCCCCCAACTGTTACATTGTGGAGCACGGACATAGTAGATAAATCAATTAATACTGCCCCCTACCTCTTTTTGCTCTGCACTCTTTTTAATAAAACTTAACACTTAGTGTGTAACTACGCTTTATAGCAGTACGTAAAACGTACGATAGATTACCGCTTTGATAAATAGCTAAAAACTTACCATCATCGAGTCGAATGAAGCCATGGTTAGAATCGATATGAAGTTGACGGTATTTAATCATGACCCACTCGCTACACTCAGGGCACTGTTCCGTGCGGACACCGCAGTAATTCTCGTGCGCAGGCAAGTCACGTCTAGGGACCTCTAATTCGCAGAATCTGTAAATGATTGTATGTTCTGTTTTTTTTCGAGACTTAATAGCCACCAACGTCAAGTGTTGTTTACCCGTGGGGGATGTCAGTGCACTGATGGACAAGACCTAATGATGTACGCCATAGACATAGTGTGTATAGTGTGATACTTTATATTCCATACAGTAGGGACAAGACATACTGGCCCGATGATTTTTTTTTCAAGCATACGAGCGATATTAATTTCTTCTAATCATACACTGTAGTGTAAGATTAGAAGAAATTAATGTTGAAATATTTGTCTTTTCTCCCTAATGTTGTATCTTATACAGTGAGAGTTACAACTCTCACTGTATAAGATACAACATTAGGGAGAAAAGACAAATACAGGTGCAAGTATTTAGTAAGTGTTTGATTAACTGCTCAAATAATTATAATCTAGAAATAATGTTGTAATTTTACTTCTTACATAATTAACATTGCTATTTCTTCTGTTTCATCTATCTTGGATTAAATCGTAAAAGTAAAAAGAAAAAAAAAAATTTCATCGTCGGTAAAAATTTACATACCTGCAGGATTTAATAGTGTGCGCACAAGAGTCCCGTATGTGGTCTTCCAAATCGGTGCCGCAGACGCTCTCCCCACATTTCTTACACGGCACTGACATAGAAGAACAAATATTTACGTACAATTTACAGTTTTACAAACTAGGGCAAAATTATTTATATATATTTGAAGATTTTACTGAAAACTCCTATGAATAACCGCGTAGCCGCAAGTAAAGTTGTCATCGAACCGACTAAAATCGCAGAGTATTCTGTTTCAAGAGGGTCTATTACAGGAGACTCGGGCATATCTTAAGAAGGATGACTCCGCAGCTCCTTAAATCCATAAAAGATAGATTTCGAGTTGTAGAGAGAAAAAACAGATAATAAAATGATGAGAAACAGGCGACTGCTCATTTTCTATTTTGGAGCAAGAATTTAGTAACTGTTTGATATCTATATATATAAAACAAAGTGGTGTTAGTTACACCATTTATAACTAAAGAAGGGCTGGACCAATTTTTATGATTTTTGTGTTTTTGGATTTGTCTTCGTCCGGAATAGGACAATAAGTAACATATGATATTCATCAATGAAAAAACATCAGTCTAGCCGTTTACTTGTTCTAAATGGTATTACAAAACGCAACTGACAGCTCACGTAATGTTGTCTATGGTTGATTTAAATTGAACTTGATAATTTTGAATTAATTTTAAAATTCTAAATCTGCTCATTCATTGACTGTTAGACGAAACGAAGTTTGCCGGGTCAGCTAGTATACTATATAATAACAAGTAAATGCGAATTAAATGTTTGCATGACATGTTGTTATGTTGAGCTATAAGCTGGATAGGTAGGTCACTTGAATGAAATGCCTTTGTTCTAGAAACTACAAATAGAACAGACAGAGGTGCCAAATAAGAGAGTGGATCTTAGCGCAATTTGTACTAATGAGTATCTTCTTATTTTAACTAAACTTCTTTTTGGACAAAAATTGCCTTTTCTCTCGGAACCGTCAATACCTAAACAATACTTTAAAAATGAAATCAATATTCACTTCAATACCTTTAAAAAATAAAATTACCAAGAGTGTATGGTCATGGACGATGGATCATAACAATTCAATTTGCAAGAATTATTAAGAATAACAGCGGTTAAATGTGTTTGTTGGTTGAGTTTGGAGTCAGGTTATAATAGTTAGCTAAGCTAGCTTGTTTAATTGAATCTTTTATATCGTCTAAACTTTAAAATTGTCCGCCTTAGTACGAAGTCCTGCGAAAAAAATCTCAATTATAAAATGGCTAGAGTAAATAGTGAATAATAGATTCTAAGAAAGGTACTGCTGATGTCATAACGATGGTCGTTCCCATGGCTCTTCTATTTTAGGTGCAATTCTGTATGCCATTTGGACGGTTCTATGCTGACACACCGTGCCATCCAAATCCCCGGTTCTGGTGATATCCGAGGGAGAAAATAGATAGTTTGCCGACTTTATCCGTAGCCGTTACTTTTTGGCAGATCTAAATTTTTCTCATTATTATATAATAGGGGTTAAAGTATGAAATGGTAATAGATACTTTGAATTGGCATAAAACCTTCGTGGTGTGAGATTTTCGTGTGAAACTTTTTTCACATGATATGATACATGATACGAGGTTGTTCTTTTAAAAAATTCGCAAAATTCGATTTTCGGATTTCAATGAATACTTCGAAAATTTGAGTCATTTTTGAATACGAGTTCCGACGTGGAAATAACGCGGCAGTGGAGACCGCTAAAGAAACGCACGGTGGCTTTTTGGTTTGGAAACTTCGAATTGAAGAAAGAAATGACAACATTTCAATAATTTAATTCGATAATCTTGCAATAAAATATAATAATACATCTCATACACACACACCGTCTGTACGGCCGTTATACATATCATGGATAAATTACACACATAGCAAATGATCGTGTTCATCAATTTTTTGTCCTTGGTGGGAATCGAACCCACGACCTCTGACTAAGCAGTCAATCTTAGCAGTCAGTGTATTAGTATAATGTGTTAACATTATTAAAAATTTTTATAAGGTTCTAATAAAACTTAACTTAGTCTCTACTGAAACCAACGAACAAACGTATCAAATCTTTGCAATATGCAATTTACACATCACTGGTTTCCACAGGTAAAAATTAAATTGAAGGCGGTCTGAATGGCCCCTAAGTACAGTAAGAACCTCAATCCAGACATGTTGATATAAATAGTACGTACGAAGTTTGTGTAGTTTGTCATGGTGTTCCTGCAGCTCATTGTGGGGTACAGGTTCTTTGCACACCGGGCACATGCGGATGTTGCGTGCGCAATGTACGCTGTGGATAGTGAAGTTCACGCATGGAATCTCGCGTTTGCTGAAAATAAATGTAAGTAACAAGGATAATTACGTTATTAGTTTATAAAGTACTAATTGTACCTTAACGTTCTTCTATAGAACTTAAGTTTCAACCTAGATCTTAATTAACAAGGGAAATTTTAACATACATACACTAGGTAAAAAAAAAACATCGATCAAAAAAATCTAAATTTATGGCGATTTTTCAAATGGCTGTATCTTTGATAAACATGGTGATATTGGAGTGAAAAAAAAGCGATTTGAAGGTTGAAGTTTTTAGTTTGTGGATCTTGTGACCATAATTTTTTTCAATCAACAATTATCGCACAATCCTAATGAATATCATGAAAAAAAAAAATTTTTTTTTCTATCTCATTTTTGGTATAAGGAACACCATATGGACTTGATAGGTTTTTCAATTTAGCTTCAATTTCTTTTTTTGTAGGCCTCAATACGATAATTTTTATTGAGCTGTCGGACTTAGAATGAAAATGGATCGTTTTCTCTTTGTTTATTGATATCTCTGCAACCAATGGTCGCACAGAAAATCGAAGGTGGGTTTCAAAAACTTAGAAGAATTCTCTACAAGGTTCTCGCATAGTTCTAAAGTTTCTTTTAATCTTAAAGTACCAGTACCAAAGTACAAATTACCTTAAAGTACCAGGCTATCCCGGTATATTATGCCACGCAGCTGACAGAATTAACAAAGGTAATGCGAGGGAAACCAAAAAATCCATAAGAACTTTTTGAAAGAGTCTAATAAGAAGTAAGAATGCACAAAAAATGGTGTCTTGGCAAATTAGATCTGGATAGAGAATCCTCTGACATATTTTTTGAATATAGCACAAATTTAATAATTGGGTGAGCAAACAACTGTATCAAATAAAATATATGTATATTACTACTGATTGATTGATGGTCACAAGTCGCACATGTTATTGGTCTTGAGTGCCATGAGTGAAAATCTTGGCATCATGTATATGCTCTACCCCAAAACGCAACTCACAAAGTCCAACAAGCAGATGTAGATGTTTTTGTCCCACTAAAATCTACATGGAAGTTGGTAGTCACAACCTTTCTGCTGAAACCAAAAAACGTAAATACCTTATATTCTACTTGGAAAACATAAATAATAAAAACCGGCCAAGTGCGAGTCGGGCTCACGCACGTAGAGTTCTGTACCATCATCTATGAAAACGGCAAAAAAAACACGTTTGTTGTATGGGAGCCCCCTTTAAGTATTTGTTTTCTTTTAATTTAATGATTCATTTTTAAAGAGAATATATAACTAAATATTCTGTGAATATTTCGAGCGTCTACCTGTTGCCGTTATCAATATCGAGCAAAAACATCACGTTTGGTTGTGTTGTTTTATTCTGTTAATATTTATTTTATTCTGTTTTTAGTATTTGTTGCAACATAAATACATCATTTGTGAAAATTTCAACTGTCTAACTGTAACGGTTCATGAGATACACAATGGTGACAGACAGACAGACGGACGGACGGACAGCGGAGTCTTAGTAATCGGGTCCCGTTTTACCCTTTGGGTACGGAACCCCAAAAAATGAGAAAAACTGCACTAAATAAGAATAATAATAACTAATCTCACTGCGTATCGTAATCGTTTACTAACTCTGTTTCAGGAATTTCAACCAACTATTAACGTTTCGGTACAAAGATTATCCGATCAAGTGCGAGCTATTAAGCGATGTAATTTGTTGGATAGCTCTGTACTTGAAAGGCTACGCTCCGACTAACAGATAAGCCATACTACTTTTCCTCCTTCACAAGCACATCAAGACGTTGAATTACTACAGGCTTCTCCTGCTGAGAGGGAGAGGAAACTGATGTTTCCTCTGTAAGTACCCAGTACAAGGATTTAATAACGAATACTTTGGAAGGTGCTATCCTGGAATATGGGTCTATGAATTTTGTAAACAGACCACGTTTACCTGGTTTGCCGATGCAGAAGCGAAATAAAGCGCTAGTGTGTGCTCTTGATTCTATATTCCCAACATTTTTGAAAAATGTGAAAACCTCTGTGATACACATTCAAGTTTGTATTGTGTGGCCATTACCGCATGTCGAGTAGGTGGTGTCAAATTCCTAAGAATTACATGGCTCCTCGACTTAAGTCTCAGCACCACAGACTTAAGTAATGGCCGCACAATACAGACTTGAATGTGTATCACAGAGGTTTTCACATAGCAATATAGGATTGAACGTCGTATTGCAGAGGCAAGGGTACTCATTGGCAAGCTTATCTGTTTCAGATTAAGTAACACACGCCCGAGAGTAATGTGCTTTGTGAATCAGGCTTTTTCGAGAACCGGTATCAGGTTCTGTGATTATATGGCACGAGTCACAGAGCGCATTGACTTTCTAAAACAGAAGGTTTATGCATGGGCAAACCGTATACGAAGGTATAAAAAAAGAGAGGCCCGATATATTCAGAATCGCACATTTAGAAAGGACGAGAGGTGGGTTTATGGAAGGTGGGAGCAGCCTGATTTAGTGCGTGGTGGACATTTCCCAGATGTTAAAATAACTAATACATTTTGGTGTAACATATGGTCGCTGCCTATCTATACTATACTATCTATCTATACGCACACAGAGGGTGAATGGATGCGAGATGTCGAACGATCATGTGAGTCAATCAATACAATGGAGCCAGTATCAATTTCAGACATTGATATAGCTTATGCAGTTCGTTCGCTACCTAATTGGAAGTCAGCGGGACCGGACGAACTGCATAACTTTTGGTTAAAGTGGCTAGCTCACATGTACGTGCGTCTCATTTTCAATCATGCCTAGAATCAGGTTCACTTCCATCTTTTATGACTACGGGAGTAACTTAGGTGCGTTACTCCCATACTCTATAAGTCTGGTAGTGCCACGGATCCCAAAAATTATAGGCCAATAACGTGTCTTCCGACATTATATAAATTACTAACGTCCATTCTAAAAGTGAAGATAACATATCATGTTACGAACAACTCTATTATGTCTCACTTCCAGAATGGATGTAGAGGTGGATCACGTGGCACTAAAGAGCTTCTTATTATGGACACTACTATTCACATACAAGTTCGCCGTAACCGAAAAGATCTGGCCACATATTGGATTGATTGTAAAAAGGCGTATGATAGAGATAAGTGTGCAATCATGCATGTAAACAGAGGCAGGGTTGTGGAATCTGATAGGTTGGAACTCTTAGATTCCACGCACTGGTGTCTCTCAGCTAACGAAAGTTACAAATATCTGAGTATGTCAAAAGCGTTAGGTGTAAATGAGTTGACTATGAAACGATCGTTACAGGAACGCTGCTCTAGCCGCCTGAAAAAAGTATTAAATAGTCTTTTGTCAGGTGGTAATAAGGTGAGGGCCTATAATGATTGGGTCATACCAGTTCTAACCTACTCTTTTGGCATACTTAGATGAACTCAGACTGAACTAGATACCCTGGAGTTCGTAAGTTGCTTACTGCATACGGAATGCATCATCGACGTTCATCGGTGATGAGGTTATATATTCCACGAAAATGTGGTAGTCGTGGTTTTCTATATGCCAGGGCCCTCCACAATCGTGAAATATGTAATCTCAGGAATTATTTCCTTTCTGTTAATGTGGATATGCATAGGAATGTAGTAGCAGGTGAAAACGGACTCACTCCGCTTGGTCTAGGTAAAGAGAACTGGCGCAAATTTACAGTAATAATATATTACTGATCGTATGGAGATATGGAAGTGCAAAGAGCTGCATGGACGTTTTATCGGGCCTTGAACAGGCCTGAGATGGACCAACTGGCTACGTGTCGGTGATCTATTCGGAGAAACTGAAGGTTTTGTATTTGCAATTACTGATGAAGTTGTTATGCCGAATAAGTATCGAAAGTATATCCTGAAGGACGCCACAACAGACATTCAATTCATTCAATCATTGTTCCGATGAAAGCATATAAACCTGGTATAGTGGTAATAGACCGATTAGAGCGCCGAGCAATGATTGTTGACTGTACGATTCCGCATGACGACAATCTTTTGAAAGCTGAAAAAGATAAACAAGTAAAGTATTTGGATTTGGCCCACGAGATTGTCGACATGTGGGATGTTGATTCGTTAATCATTTTTTTTTAGATATCTCACACATCTCACACACGGCTACTAGATCCCAAACTAGGCAGAGCCTGTACTATGGTAACCAGACAGCTGATAAACATACTTAGCTATATATTTTTAAATAGATACATATTATAAATAAATTACACCCAAACACAGAACAAATGACCGAGCTCATCACACAATATTTGTCCTGGGTGGGAATCGAACCCACGACCTCCGATTTAGCAGTCAAGGTCACTAAACACTAGACCATCAGGCCCGTCGGTACCGTTCCATACCATCATTGTAACGGTAGTCATATAGGCCCATGGATTAATTGCTAAGAGCCTCGATCAACATCTATAGAGGCTCGCGTTAGGCAGTTGGATTAAGGGCCTAATGCAGAAAGAAGTTCTTCCTGATACATAAAACATTTTTATATCAATTATAAATGTTCTATTGGAGTTTTTGTCATAATAAAATAGTGGTCACAAACCAGCTCACTAGCGGTTGTAAACTGATGAAAGTGGTTGTAAACGCCAGTTCATTTTGGCTATATTTTCACTTTTGCAGAATTTTGTAATAATTTATGGATGAGGGTATTTTATTTTATTTACAATTTTCACTAACAAATACTACATTGCATGTAGATAACATTTTCTTTTACTTATCTGAAGTAGCAAACTAACTGGACCCTAAGACAGTTAACTAACTGTCAAGACTACAAGACCGTAAAATATAAACTTTAAGTTGTAAGCACCACATAAACGGTAGCACTGGTGTGAAACATCTGACCACAAAATTGTGCATAGTGTTTTTAGCACAGTTTACCTTTACTATGTAAAAATAAAAAAAATCCTTTCTTAGTTTGATGTTGTTAAAACTACTAAAGAAAGTGAAATAAAATTTTGGCTATACGCTTTTTTCGCAAAATGTGGTCTATTATATTATCAGTTTACTTTGTTACGCGATCAAAATATTAAATATTTGTATTTCACTAAATATAGTTTTACCTTCATGTTTCATAAAATGATAATTTACAACAAAAATGTGCAAATGTGCTTTTTGAAGTTAGATAAATCTGTGTGGTCAGCTTTTATCTTGTGATCTTAATTCCTTAATATTTTATATTATAATATTTTGATTATTAATTTTCTATGAAATTTTCATATTTTAAAATCGATATCAAAAAGGTATGTGAGGTAGGTATTGGGTTACTTAATGTAAATTTACATAAAATTATAGGTCAATTAGGTCAAACGAGGTCACAGGGTTCATCAACATTTTAAATTCCTGAGGTGTTCTGGCTATAATAAAAATGTTAATTTAGTTAAAGGTAAGCTGAAGTCCTTATTTCTTTCGCAAGAATAAATATATTTGGTGATAATATAGCTTAAATATTAAACTTAAGTATTTCATAAAGGTTTTCATAACAATAATTGTTGAATAACGTAAACAAGCGAACTCAAGACAGCTGCGATGTTCGCGATGCTCTAAATAATCTATAAATAGCCGGCTAACGTGTGTACTCTAAAATAGAACAAGTATTGTCAACATAACACGCATATTGTGTACAAAACTTACCAATTAGGACACGGTTTAGTCTCTGTGTCTTCCATTTTATATCTTCACTTTAATTTTCTTTTATTTTAATATTACACATCAATCACACCATTTATCACTATAACCTATTTATTTTAGTCACTTTTTTATTGTGCAACGAAGTGTGTTTTCTTGCCAGTTTTTTAAACAACTAAGCGTTTATTAGAGTAATTTTGAAACTTGAAAATATAAACATTTAACATTGAACTATTGAACACTTTCGGTAAATCCCACTACCACAGACCACAAATTTAATTATTGTAACTAACTTCACTACGTATTTTGACATTTGGAGCATCATGCTGACAAAAATAATCACCAACGTTTTCTACCATAATCTTTTTTTTTGTAGAACAGGCGGGAAATCCGAAATTTACCAGCCTCCACAGCCAACCACAGAGCTCGACTAGAAAGAGAATAGGGAACTATCTATTATCCATCTCTCTTGTTGCACCCATCAAGAGCTGTCATGTAATTTCTGCATATTTTTATAAAATACTATTTTCTACACAGAATGAGTTCTGTGATGTTTGGTATTGAATAGCGGGGATAGTGGGGAGCCCCCCCCAGAATGAAAAACCGATTTACTCGAGTGCCAAAGGGACCTATTGCATTTAAAAGATTAGGTAATTGAATACATAATAGATTTATAATTTTTCTATTTTCAGTGGTATTGGTATTGGTATTGGTTGTGGGCTTCGGTTTCCGCATTTAGACTCAGAGTGGTCCTTTATGCGTCGAGGATTGGTTGACTAGGTGAGCCAACCAAGCTCCTTCCAGAAGCGCAGAAGCCTCCTGGGGCGTTCACAGGCTTCTAGGAGCGACTTTATATCAGGAATGATACTTGCCCGTTGTGTGGCCACTCCCTCGCATTCCAGGACTACGTGGGCGGCCGTTTCTTCAGCTTCCAGACATCCCCTGCACAGGGGACTGTCCGTCGCATTGATTATGAATAGTTGTCGGTTCAGGGCTAGATGTCCTGTAATAGTTCCGACAACCATTCTGAGTTCCGGTCTGCTAAGACTGATCAGTCTGCAGGTGAGTCGTGGTGTGACTTGATTCAGCACCAGTTTGGACTGTCTGCAGCCGGGTGAGTTTTTCCACCTCCGGTTGTGTGCTTCACAGGTCCGTTGCCTGACCCAGCATCGTATTTGGTTAAACGATATGGGCAGGAGTGGAGTTGGGCCAGAGGTTGGGGTTGCCGAGCCCCTCCTTGCCAACTCATCTGTGTCCTGTGTCTTACTGTGCCCTTTAATCCATTGGAGGAGTACCCCATTGCATATAGCGAGCTGTTCCAGTGCTTGGTGGCATTCGAAGACAATACCAGAGGTCATTGTGTTGCCCTCCAGTGCCTTTAAGACGGCCATGCTGTCGGATATTATTCGGATGTTGTAGTCCTTGATACCCCTTGACATGGCCGTTGTGGCAGCGTAAGTTATTGCCACACATTCACATTGAAATATGGAACTGTGTTGGCCTAACGCTAGTGATATGTTTATATTTAGAACCGTCCGTGTAAATTCGGCCTTCGTTAATGCCGGATTGATCTCGGTCATTTCCATGTATCTGGATGTAGTATCTTCTTGTAAAGATATGGTGTTTTGGGATTCTATCGCATGGAGCTGCTATCAGTGGTTCGTATTCCACCAATTGATCCCATAATTTGGAGTGCGATCCCTCACTTTTGTGCCATAGACCCAGGTGTTTGAGTCTAATGATCGCCATGGCGGCCTCCTGCTGTATGAATAGATCCAGGGGTGGCAGACCAAGAGCCACCTCCAGTGCGGCAGTAGGCGTTGTGCGCATACAGCCAGTGACCGCGGAGCATGGGAGTCGCTGGAATTGCTGCAGTTTGTTTATGACGGTGCTAAGCTCTGTTCTCTGCCACCAGACAACAGCACCGTAAGTGATTATTGGTCTTATGACTGTCCTGTATAGCCATAAAGTGATTTTGGGTGATAGTCCCCAGCTTTTGCCGAGTAGCCGCTTGCATTGGCAGAAAATAATGCAGGCTTTATTCAGTTTTTCATCGAGGTGCTTATTCCACAGGAGTTTACTGTCCAGTATTACTCCTAGGTATTTGACCTCTTTGGTAAGAGTAAGTTGTGTTCCAAATAGCTTGGGAAGTCTGAGATTTCCTAGGCTGCGTTTGTTTGTGAACATGATCATCTCTGTTTTGGATGGGTTCACTGTCAGGTTGTGTGCTACGCACCATTGTTCCACGATCTTCAGTGCAAGTCTCATTTGATCGCATGTAATGCTCTCAAAAGGACCGCTGATGAGAATAGTAAGATCGTCTGCATAGCCTATTGTGAGGAATCTTGGGTCATTAAGTTGTGCAATGAGCTCATCCACAACAATGTTCCATAGAAGGGGGGAGAGTACACCGCCCTGGTGGCAACCTCTAGCCACCACTCCTCTAGTCACTTCGCTCACAGTGAATTGAATAGCTCTATATCTTAGCATGCTGTCGATCCACCCTGAGATTGTGGAATCAACACCATGCCTAGACAGAGCTTGGCTAATGCTGGTGAAGTTGGTCTTGTCAAAGGCTCCCTCGATATCGATAAAGGTAGCCAGTGTTGACCTTTTGTGATTTAGATTGTCTTCTATATATGAAACAACTCGATGTAGGGCAGATTCTGTTGATTTACCCATCGAGTATGCGTGTTGATTGAGGTGTAGAGGGTGACTGACTAACGCAGTTTCCCTGATTTCCCTATCTATTAGCCTCTCGAGAACCTTTAGTAGAAAAGATGTGAGACTAATAGGTCGGTGTGATTTGGGTTGTGTGTAGTCACCTTTACCAGGTTTGGGGATGAAGACTACTTTAACTTCTCTCCATTTCAAGGGGATGTACTGATGCGCCAGGCAGCCCCTATAAATTATTACAAGATGGTCCAGTAGTGTCATATCACACCATCTCAGTAGGCCTGGGAAGACACCATCTAGTCCTGGCGCCTTGAATGGTAGGAAGCTGTTAATTGCCCATCTTAGTTTGTCATGATTGACAACTTTGCGGGCCGTATCCCAGTCTGTATCATCTGGTGGTTTTTCCCATCTGTCTTCCCATTTTTCCATCACATCTGAAATGCGACATCCAGGGAAGTGTGTTTTTAATAACAGCTCTGAGGCTTCCGAGTCTGTTTTGGTATACTCACCATCAGGCTTCTTCAGTGAGCCAAGATTGTGATCGCCTCTACTACACAGTATGCTTTTGACTCTATTAGCCTGGTTGTTGTTTTCTATGTTAGTACAGAAGTTTCTCCAGCACTCAGTTTTCCTGGTTCTGATTCTCTTCTTATATTGTTGTCGGGCCTGCGTGTAGGCATCCCAATGTTGGTCTAATCGCGAGTTTTTTGCTTTATTGAACAACTTTCTCACTTTACGACGTAGTCTTTCCAGTTCCGGACCCCACCATTGGTGTTTGTTCTGTGGTCAAGTTCTGGGTGTGGAAAGTGGGAAATGTTTGTTCAAAGCAATCGATCAGTGTCTGTGTAAGGTTGACAACATGACTGTCAATGTCCTTAACAGTCCCCGTAGCGTATATTGGGTTGATGCTTCGCAGATTCTCCGCAGTAAGATGTTCATACCGTTTCCGGTCCATCGTGCGGGGATTCCGTCGGGGATCGGGTAGTTTAAGTTTCATTTCAAAGTTAAATTTGATCCAGCGATGGTCTGAGCACGATGCTTCGTTCGAAACATGCCAGTTCGATATGTGTTGCGATGCGTGCTCACTTGCTAATGTAAGATCAATTATAGTTTGAGCCCTGGATGTGACAAATGTCGGCTCCGAGCCCACGTTGATAATGTTAAGGTTAGTTGATAATAGGAACGATACAAATACAAACGATATTTTCAGTGGTGTCAAAACATTCTACAGGTTTTTAAAAATGTAAGGCGAGCAAATCGAAAAAAATTTTTCGAGCGCATCAGCTATTTTGGGGACGTCAAAAACGAGAGAGATCCACGAGCTGGTCGTGGTTTCAAAAATTTTATACAGGTGGTTCAGCTTGATGTTTCTGTCATACTGGCAGAAAAACTGACGTTTATTTTCCCGGGTATTTTAAATTACGATTTAAAATATTTGGATTTTTAATAAAATGTGACAAAGACACGAAAAATTATGCAGACATTTAAAGAAGATTTCTTCCATTGTTTGCTTCAAAATAAAAAAGAAATGTCTAGGTCATGTTTTTTTATGGAACTTTGTGACCCTACCACTGCTTTATGTTACGCTCAAATCGTCTGATTTTTTTAAATACACACTGACTCAACTTACCTTAATCTTACTCGCTCGAGTATTTTTGACCATCGATTTTTTTTACTAATCTTATGGGCTGCCCTAGACGATCCCCCCTACATGTAGAACTCATGTATGGTGGAGGTACTCAACTGGGTGTAAGGTATTCCTCCTATGTTAATCTGACACGCTCGAGTAAATCCCGAAATCTCTTCTAGGGCTCCCCTACTATTAGACATAATATAATGACGGTAAATTCGAATTAAAAATATTTTTCGAATTATCTAACAATTATACTAATATTAAAGAAAAGAACGATTATTTTTTAAATCAAATAGGCAAACTGCGATTATAAAGGTTTAATTGCTGATACTAGGTACTACTACTACTAGGTATACCTAGTATGGGGCAACCCTATATTAGTTTTCCTGAAATCCTAAGCTTGACTTAAAGGTCTTAGTTACCAGGTCATTAATTTCCAAAAAAAAAGAACAAAAAAATGAAATCTTAAGTAAGTCGAGAGTTCCTTCAAATATTCCATAAACTTGCTCAGTAAGTCTTTTTTCGTGCGTTCAAGTTCGACGTCCATTTAAAGTTCCTAATTTATTTTATTTATTTTTTGAACCGCAAACCACTAAAATAAAACAATTTGTATTGATTGCGCTAGTTTTCTATTAGACAACAGTTCTAAAACACAAATATCTAAATTAGATAAAAACCTTACTAGCGTCAACATATAATGAAACCAAACTCTGTGAAGTTCACTGTACAGCA